TAATCTGCTCTATTAATATCTATATATTATCTTGTAAGGTGGTTGAGATATACGCGTGTAGAGGTGCGCAAAGTTGGTGGGGTGCGTCACTCGCTTGTACGCGTCACTCGCTTGTAAAACATGTTAGAACGATAAGAAGCTTGGCTGACGGATCCAAGAAGTCCGGTCGCCTCATCCCAGTTTTAAGTATCGACTGTGTGGCTTTGAGCCACTGTGCCGCGATGCCGAGATGTCTCGGCTGTTGGCGTTGAGTACTTTCGGAGTACTTGTCGGTACTGTGCATGTTGGTTCTCGCAGTTTCCCCGTGGAGGATCCAACGACTCCGCGTTTTGCGCGCTCTGTGTGGAGCCGTGTGATGCTTTTAGCCAGCAACAGGAGCATCCAGGATATGTGTTTCCGGGGTAGAGATACGACAGTAAGCAGCGCTGCCGCATATGACAGGTTGATGTTTGCCACGTATGCCACTTAAGGCTTGTCTGATTACAGGTGTGGCGGCACCGCCAATGATACGTCTCGCAAACCAATACGCCATGATGGCAACGCGTGGTTATGGTGCACTAGACCTGCAGCGCATTGAAGACTCGTCGGAAGGCCCAGTGAGCATTATCGTGGAGGATTGTCCCGAGGAATGTGGATAGTGTCGCTTCGCTTGCCTGCGCAGTGTGCGGGTGATCGATTTCCGGAGAGACCATGGCGTGGCAGGATCCTTTTCAAAGTAGAAGATACTGTAAGGCATGGAATGTCGTTGAAATTGAGCCTCAATCGATAGATAAGCTCTGCACGTGGATACCTGGCCCAGGCGGGGCGGGTGGAATGGTGGGGGTGGCAGTTGCGGATTCTGCTCCTACAACTATCAGCATCCGAAAATACCGAGAAGGTTCGCGGGGTATACACGAGCCTTACGAACTAAGATAATCGCATAGGCTTGCGACCGGCCACACGATTGCATGCAATCGCTTCTTTCGATGACCACAATACAAAATGGTTTTCTCGCTACGAGATTGGATAGAATTGGTGAACAGACGACGCTTTTGATTGTGTGGTCCAAATATATACTACGCCGAAGAACCCCATCCCAATGCCCATTATCAACCCTATACATGCATGTTCATAAAGTCATCAAACGCCCTTTGTAAGTCCGACAGCCTCACTCAAGCTCAGATCGCGCGTAACGATTCAGCTTCCGACATACTCGAACTCGACGAACGGCGCGGCGCAAGCTGGCTATCCGCCTCGGCGAGCGCGGCCTGCATCGAGAAGCCAAAGGTGGCTGCGAGGTACTGCGCATAACGAATGCGATACGCCTGCGCAGGGTCTTCCTTTGGCTTAAGAAGCTCCTTCTTTTGTGATGAAACACCTGCTGGAAAGATTAGATGGGAGGCTTTAGTATGGTTGATCAAATATACCCGATGCGGGATGGAGAACTATTGAAGGCGTCATGGTAGGCGACAAAGTAGGTGAAGATGAGGGTGACGAAGAAGCGGACGAGTTGAATGGAAGAGCAGGCATGATGTCTGAGTTCAATAGACGATAGATGATAGATGGGTGGTGGTTTGAGCTGTAGGCGACGCTGATTGGTTGCGGTAGAGGTAGTTCGAGGTTTGTATGAGGGTAGTTCTCTGGTGTCGATCCCGTCTTGCAAGAGTTTAGATTGAAACTCGAGATTGGTTGAAGAAGTTGCTGTGGATGCTTTGCTGCTTCGAGAGAAAGATGGGCAGCAGATGATCTCTTTATACGTGGCTGACGGCTGGGATCGAGGGACCATTCAATCACGATCGTGAGCCTTGCGGAAGCTTCACCGCACAATTAGAAACAGAACGAATGGCGCCGTCACGATAAGTTCCACACAAGAGACACCGAGGCATGCATCTCGATCAGCCCGAACCAGTGTAACGTAATTGGGGGCAGATTATTTCCTAGTGGAGAAAAGTGATACAAGCCGGTTAGCCATCCATGAATGCGCCATTTCTTTTCTTGTTACCCCTGGACCACCGCACTCCCGTAGCGCTTCCCCAGGTTTTTCATTCGTGCTTGCCTGTTTGAGCGGTGTAGTAAATGTTGCGCGCCAACCTGCTTTGAGCCCCATGCATGCGGTCCCTTGCCATAGCATATATCGCAATGCTCAAAACATTTTCACGATGCGCTGTTAATGTTCGAAGGCACACACAACAGATGTTGCGTGACGCATATAGTCCGACACAACTGCATCCAAGTGGCACCACCTGACTAACCTAGCCAGCATCGCTGCATAGGCCCAGCTGCGGAGCAAGTCGCCACATCCCGTCAAAGCCAGTAACGTTGCCGTTTAAAACGAGCAAATGACACAGCCAATATTCGCTATTTGCGCTGAAGATGACGACGGCGCAAGTAACCCTTGTTTATAGTGGAACGGCCGTGCGTCGTGTTAGATATCAGCAGCTACGCCACGACTGGGCACTTTGCGCTCACATATGGAATACATCCTTTGTCGCCATGGGCCTGATCACCTCGCTTTGCACCTGCATATTGTTGGTGAAGTGTCAAACCTTTCCAAAGGACCACGTTGTTGGCGCAAGCCGTCTGGGACGTCTGAGTGCGCTTTCGCGACTCGTACAAGGTCCCATAGACCCATGCAAAGAAACGGGGAGACCTTTTTCTAGACTACCAGGATCTGCAACTAAACGTCCGCTTCAGAGGGCTGAACCGCAAGAAGCCGCAGCCAAGGATCCCCACCGTGGAAGCAGAAACACTTTCGAATTCTCTGCCATGCACTTTGATGCAGTTTCTGACCCACGTCACACCGGACCCACAATATTCGTCAACATCGATATTCAAGCAACTTTTGCGATTACTCTCTGACATTCACGATACTCCAGGTATATCTAGCATTGGTCATGATGCTATACTACCATACCAAGGTGGTCCAGAAGCCTGACTTTACGTACAAGAAACCGGTGTAGCCCGCCCAAACGTCACGATGTTAAAAACGCCGCATTGTTCCAAACGTGTTCTATGCAGACGCCGCATCATGAGGCCTTGACGATCGATGAGGGGCAGCGCCATAAGCGGGACCAGTGCGGGGCCGATGCCTGTGAATCGGATGGCTCGGCTGAAAGCCGTCATTTGTCTGGAGCCAGGCACACGCAGCTGCGGTCACTGTGACCGCGGCAACATCACCTTCCTGTTTACTTTGAACCAAGACTTGGCAGACCTTCCCTCGATTGTTAGGTATCGCAGGCCTCCCTGCACTGTGTCAGCACGCGGAAAGCACTTTCCGACGTTGCCTTGCCCTTTGCCCTCATCCTCGGGTATGGGCATGCAAGAATATGCACATCATTATCAAAGCACACAGCCACTCTCGCCATGCACGATATTGCCTCAACCCAACGCTAGGCTCATACTGTCAGCACGCACATTCTACAATGTCCATGGCGATGTAGCCTCGTGCCAGTGCGGCATTTCCTCAAACAACACCATATAATTATTCCCGCTGTGGAGCCCGGCGATCCGGTCCAGTCAACTCTAAAGCAACGTCAATCACCAGCAGAGTACAGCATGACCGTGAAATGCGACACACGAAGAACGTCAGGTACAGCGGCATTTACTACTCACCGCTATAATGTAAGTTTATCTTGTGGTCCATCCATCAGGCTTGCCCTGCATGCTGCATTAGGCCGACATCAGGGTCTGATGCGAGTGTATCTGATAGCAGCAAGACGTGCCTGGATCAATCTCTAGTCTGGTTTCACATGTTGCGTGTACCAAATTCAGATAACACTGGTCAAATCAGAAGTTGGAGGTTGGATGCGCGAATATTGCGATGACTACTACATTGCAGAGGGTTTGAAGTTTAATTCGGCGAACCTACGCAACGCCATGAGTGACAAATGCGGCTGGCGTGCATATCACGAGTTGGACGAACCAATGTTTGCGGGAAAGCTGGGAATCTGGACATGGCTTATCCACAATTATGCTAGGCCTCTGACCGGAAACACTCACTCTAGAAATCGGGCCTACATCCATACGATACCAAATCAGGTACCATGAGACTCTTACGATGAATCAAGCATTACGCCGTGCCCCATCTGCGCGCATAGGAAAACAAAGGAGAGAAAAACAACGCAAGACATCCAACGGTAGACATGATGCCGTTGGCCATCACAGTACCGCTTCACCAGCGTTGGTCTGGGTACATGTAACCAATTCGTTGGCCAGGGCCGTCGAAGTTGCTTTGTGGAGCAGAAGGCCCCCTGTCGTCCATCATCGGCGGTCCACCTTGCATGCCGCCTGTGGGACGACCACCGACTTGCTCGCCGTCTGTTCCTATACCCACGTCGCGAACGCCATGGACTCTAGCCCCTCCGCGCATCGCGTTGCGAAGTCCTGCAGGAGCGGCATGTGGAGTAGCAAGAGGAGCAGCACGGTGAGGTCCACCATAGCTTGAAGGGCCTGCGGAAGGGCCATGCCCACGACTAGGACGCATCTGGGGAGGACCGCCATAGCCTAGAGGTGGACCTACGGGAGAGTCACGAAGAGGGCTACGAGGACCGGCAGGAGAGCCGCCACCATAGCCACCATGTCCATGAGGAACGCCGCCTCCATGACTGGGAGGGGGTCTTGGGGGCGGCGCGCGTCCACCAGCATTCTGTCCATTCGCAAGCTGTTGAAACTGCTCCGAATCCTGCCAAATGCCATCCTCTCCAAGAAACTCAGCCCTGCAGATCGGGCAACGCTTTTGATCATCGGGTCGATTCAACAACATCTCCTTTAAACAATCCCTCCCAATCATGTGATTACACCCCTCAATTCCCTTGATTTGGATGCAAAGATGCGACGCACTCGGTGGCTCCAGACAAATCGGACACTCGGCATTTGGAGGCGCAATCCTGCCATCGCCAACGGGCTGCGTTCGTTCTTGTAAGAACCACGCCATATCTTCTGCGGCTTCTTGCGAGAGACCGCGGTCTTGTCGCATAGCAGCGGGTTCGACTTCGTTTCTGAAAGCGCCGTCCGGACGATGGCCTTGTCCACCGTCGACGCGACCATTGACACCACTATTAGCGCCGTTGACACGGAACGGGTTCGGGCCTGTCCAGAAAGAGGACCGAAAGGCTCCTGGGCGACCTGTCGGGCGGCCGCCTAGGAGACTTCCGGGTGGTGGTCGTCCTTGTGGTGGACCACGAGGTGGCACACCTCCGTCCATACCCATACCTGGCGGCCCCTGATCCCGACGCATGGTGTTGCGATACGGATCATTAGGTCCATAGCCTTCTTCGTGCATGTTACCGTCGGACTCTTGGTAAGAAGAGTAAGAGTGAGAGTTGCCGTCCATCATGGGACTACCCATCGCGTGATGCATCATTAGACCTTGGCCGCCCATGCCACCCATCATGGGTGGTAAATCGTAGCCTTCATACGGATCTTGCTCTACGTAGCCACTGCGTTGAATTTGGCTTGGTCGATAGCCACCGCCATTGCGGTGGCGGCCACCGAAAGGATTTTCATCCCAGATTCCGCCTTGAAAGGGTCCCATGTCGTTTGGTTCGGTCGATAGAGATTCGTGGTCTTAGGTTGTGGTTGAGGGTAAGTTGGCGAGGAAATGAGCAAGTGAGCTAATGTAGTCGAATGAATCTATCTTTGTGCTATAAGGACGAACGACACCGTACTCTAAAAGAGTACAGTCACCGGACAATGATATGGTGAAAGTATTCGCGAAGAGTTGTATGTGTTCTCAAGAGGTCATCAACTAGGGCTATGGTTGAGATGTTCCACGTCACGCAACTGCATGAGTATGGTTAAGTATGAAGAGCACAGAAATTCTCTATGCCCAAAGACTTCATACGACGGCCAGGTATCTCAAGACGATGGAGAGTGCGGTATTCTATGCGTGTGACTCTATGTCCTGATGACCATGTGACTAAGAGGCCATGAAGATGGCTTTGAACATATAAGGTGAAGGCACGATTTTCACTAAGCTACTCACACATATTCGGATAGGCATGCGACCGGGTTTCAATGCTAAGCGTTCTGGCAAGGTGAGTATTTTCAAACATATACTGAAAGGCGCGTTTACGAAATGCATGTGTATTGGTTGCAATGAGTATCGAGAAAGAAAGTACATTATACTAGTAATCTAGGTTATCCTACTTCGTTATCACAATGACTAGGGTATCTACATCGCCCATCCGACCGCTATGCTATCCATACCCAAACAATACCGAACGTAAACAAGGACAGATCCTCACACTCCAGAGTAAACCTAGACCAAACAATTCCTAGCTATTCCTCAAGTTCGAAACTCTGCCGCCTATGAAAGTGGGACTACCAGCTCTACTCCTGGTCTTGGGTTGAGGTGTTGCACTCGTGCCTCTGGTGCCCACACCCGGCCTGCCAACGCTCCTCAGACGAACAATCTCTTCTTCCTTGCTCTGCAGCGTACGCTTGTAAATAGTCAACTGTGCCTCCAGGCTCGCGATTTGCTTTTGCTGTCGATCGTAGTTCTGATTCAGGTGCATGCCCTTCCGCTTTGT